TTTTAACACTGTGTGCAGAACAAAAGTTTAAATAAATGTTGTCAAAGAAGATAATTCTCTTATTATGAGAAATAATGTTTGTGTCTCTCTTAATGTTATGTCGTCAAACAAAGTGCGTTGTCGAGCGAAACACAGTAGTGCGAGCCATGGAGGTTTGAGAGAAGGAGAGCGATCGCTACGTACTAAAGCATAGCCCGCCTGTCCTTGAAAATTTGTAGAATATATAGCGGCGCTGCCGTCAGTGAGTTGTGGCTGCGAAGTTAGCTGTTTATGAGTACAAGTAGATGAAGTTAGTTGAATAATGTACAAATTTTCTTCGCGGCATTGGTGAGATAATTTTCGTGCTCCGTATTTTTAAAATTTTTGACAAAAAGAAACATTAAAAAATGAAGAAATATTTTATTGTGTGTGGATGTGCAAGTGATTTACCATCTGATCGGAAAAACAGACTGAAAATGACTTTTATTGAGCTAACTTAGTGATCGCAGCACCTCACTTATTGTGTCCATATTTCTGGGACACTATTTTCTACAGCGATCGTTCTCATGTTCCCTAACCTCCATGGTGCGAGTGGAATGGACACGCGAATAAGCAGAACAACTGCTATGGCAAGAGCGACAGACACAACTGTGCTTGTCCAGCACATGGTCCCGCATATACACCTGTAGGTATTTGATAGGTCTATTATTTAAAATCACGAAAAAGCAACTGCATATTATAGGAACACTAAGGTTTTGTATTTAGAGGTGCGCCACTGAGATATCGCACCACCTAAAATTTTTATTAGTTATTATTTATTAGGGTAGTAAATATTCCCTATATTGCTATTTATTACAGCAGATATTCCAAACCACCTGAGCTACAAAATATAAAGAACTGAATTTAAATAAAGAATTTACTATTGAGCAAGATTAGTAAAAGTAAATAAGTTTTAGTAGCTATAAAAAAAGTTGCTGCTAAAGTGCTTATTCCATTAAAAAATGTAATTGGGTTTTTCTGTCGAGAAATTCTTAGTATCTGCGCAGAGTAACAAAGTAGGCGGCTTTTCGCCCCGTGCCCGCACATAAATTCGTTGGGAGTAAGCCTAACTTCCTCCGGTCGTGTGGCGAGGTCCCAGGTGTGCACTATATGTATATTTCAGGACTGACAAGTTACCAATATATTCCGAAATTGGATCTAATCTACTATTTCCGTAGCCTTTTTTGATAAACGAATTCAAACAATGAAAACAGTATGCTTTCTATTGTGGTTCATGTCCATTCTGTTTTAATAAAAATAAAGAAAACTAACGTCTAAAGAAAGTTATGTTAAAAGGTAAATACTGGCATAGGAATGGAAATAAAATAATGTTTATATAATTTTAAGTCGTTTATTAAAATAATATTCCTTCAACTGAACACAAGGCATGGGTCCAGACCTAATAATTGAGTTTTCTAATTTGACAAAGATTTTTCCTACAAAAAAACATAACCGGCTCGACGCAGAAGCCGCCTGTCTTTCCTCCTTAACAATAAAAACAACCTATAAAATCTATCAACATAAAAGACCTTTCAGAGGTATTAGGTATACCCACAGTTTTTACAGTTAAATTTGGCACTGACAATTATGTATAGTAAAATTGTTACTGTCCATCTGTTAATCCCCGACAATCTGCAATTAGTTCTAGATGGTTTTGGCACGCTTTTTAATATATATTTTATACCGTGAGAATAAAACAATTGAAAATTGAGACAAAAATAAAAACAACAATTCTTTTCTTCTTAAAAGAAAGCAAATAATTCCATATAATTTCCATAAATTCAGAAAAGTCCTTAATTTATTTTTACAATGTGAAAGTTTATATTCAGAAAATTATAAAATACCCATATCAATCAATATTGCACATATCATGCAAAATCATGCCAATAATAGAAGTCTTAAACTGATTTAACTGTATATGTTTCAGTCATTTTAGATATATGATTAATCTATAACTCTCGTCATTTATTTTGTTAAAATTTATTTATTAATCACCGAAAGCACAATTTGCATAAAGTCATGGGTTCGATATTGCATTTAACAACGTTAAAAATCTTAATAATAACAATAAAAAATAGTAATTAACAAAAAGAAGTGTTGGACAAAACAAACCATCCGAGAACATTCCAAGTGTGGTATTTTATTAGTTTTATTTAATAATAATTATAATAATAAATGCAATATTTTTATTACCAAAAGTGTTCTAAATATTCGTGAATTTATTTACAAGTTTTAGTCCCTGGTAAAAGGACCAACAATCAGCTTTACGGTATTCAAATAAGTGATGTAACTTTCAAAATTCTGCTTCTTTATGGGAGTCAGTATTCAACTAATATTTTCTTTAAACTTCTTTTTATATAGAAATAATGTATATATAGGTAAGTAGCATAGTACACTTATCATCTAATATGACACAGTTAGATTAAAACCTACTTTTTATACATTTACATCGCGTCTGTGTGTGTACTTACACATATTATACATAGGATGTTGCAACTATTGCCTTTTACAACTTAGAATAAGATTAAAAATGTAATAAACAAGAATGTTTAAATCCACTTTATACTAAAACATTTTGTGAATTTAATTTAAAGTAATTTCATTACCTTGTTCTAATTTGAAGAGTTCCTTAGTCTTGCTCATCACATATATAGCATCTTCATATTTAAAAATGTACATTTTAATGTCTTTAGAAAATATTAACTATATTAATGTCAAGACTGCATTCAATTAAGGTACCATTGAAAACAAAAACATCATTAAATAAAAATAAGTTTTAATCTCCTTTAAAAACATAATAGTCAAATTACAAAAGGCAACACTCACAACAATGTATTAAATATTTTTCACTCGTACAACGTGCCTAATCTAATCTACGACAGTCTAACAATTCCGCACAACGGAAAAAAACAGTTGTCCCTTAGGGTCGCCTTAATTCTTTAAGCTGTACACAAGTTTGAACCTAAGGGAGGTTCTTTTAAAAACTAAAATCATTAATGCTACATGGAACATTTTCTGGTGCAAGCTGTTTGAAAGTTTTAAACATTTTTTACTGAGAGAGCAATAGAGGCGGGTTTCGCCAAAACAGTTTTGATTATACGTTTATTTAATATTTTCTCATTAGAGGTACATGCGTCAGGAAAACTATAAAAATATTTATGTATGTGACATTTTATTTAAAATTTTAAGAATAACTTAAGGTTATCTGTATATTTCAGTTTCGAAGTTTCCGTGCAATGCAAGTATGTAGCGTCAAGAGAGTCAATCGTTCATTTCTTTGTTAAAAATACTATCATGGCTGTTGTTGTGAAATGCACAAAAAGGCAGTGCATAAAAATTATTGTAGAAAAAATTCAGTCCTAATTGAAATCTCAACAGCTCATCTTCACTTACATATAATCAAGATAAGGTTTTATTTTTACCTTTTGAAAGCAATAATAGTTATACTTCCATAAACATTATAGAAGATGTTTTAATTTAGACTATATGTTTAGTGCATTCGCATACATAACAAAGACAATAATTAACACTCTTGAGTATACTTATTAAAACAGTGTTTGAAAATTTCATTGGTAAAATTATTAAATTATCTATGATCATAGATCAAGTTCTAGATTTTAATTGTCCATAAAAATAATAACGTACATATACCGACGAGATAATAAAGTTTAATAATTATAGAGAAATAAAAAAAGCATAAAAGAAATTCTTTTTTATTTTTATAATTTAAACAAATTAAAAAAGAATTTTGATGTACAGCTATAACTGTTAAACTATATAGCGTCGGAGTCAAAGCTAAATGATGTGGTTAATTAGCTGGTTAGTTTAATGCAATGGCACAAATTGTTGTGACTAGTCATTGAAAACTGAAAATGGTCCAATGAAAGAGTGGATTTCGAAAATGCAGAAATGACATGCTTCATGATGGGGTACTTGAGATCATGGTTAGTGACGAAAATGTACATTTTAATGTTTATATTAAATATATTCATGGTTTGGCGTAAATTATTAACTTTCATGTACATTGCGTTCGCGTGACGTTTAGAAATATCGCACATCTGTCGAAAATAATGATGCTTAGGCCTTTCTGAAATATTAAAAAAGAAAAATATTTTTGTAGAATAATGTAATGTTGTTTTTACAAACTGATACAGTTAGGTGCACAAAATGTCGATATTCCCGAATGTCACACAGGCAAACCCGTGTATTTAGTACCCGATGAAAAAAATGTGTCTGAAATTACATTTGAAGTTTTTATAGATTTGAAGAATCTTGTTATGTCACAACCAACACAACTTAGTGCATTGAATGACTGCTAGATGGCGCTGGTGAGATTTTGTAATCGTTACATTTATTAACAAAAGGTGGCGTTACATACAAATTGTCAGTTTAAATTTTTTAGACACATTTCATGGATATTTGAAAGAACAACTAAGAATTGCTAAAATATTTCAAATTGACAATTTGTAGATTTGCTAGGAAATTAGTAGGAAGTGTATATATACTGTGTTTCCGATCGTACAAATTTTTATACTTTAGTTATATATAATCCCTAACAATATGTTCCTTTGAAGTTATCAAATGTTCCACCTCAATAAGGGTGTTGTAGATGTTTGTACGCACTAACCGAAGATGGAAAAAACACAATATATCATTAACCAGGTAAGCGGACAGCTACAGATATTTTTGTGGCAATTGTAACCAATTTAAAAACGTATTTTGTTGCATAAAATAATGTATATTAATAAAGTATTGTGTCAATTCAAAAGAGCCAAATAACCAATCTAGCAGCATTCAAACAGAGCGTGCCACATCCATATCGTCACACCGACGTAACCAACAGAACGTACCATCACCAAACTGAACCCGACCGAGAGCAAGGGAACAACACAGTCACTTCTCACAATTTGCTCAACACAGTTACATGATCGGAGCGTCACAACACAAACACAACACAGTGTCAGTTGGCACATGGATTGTCACTAGGACACCGATATGACCTCGTGTCCGGGTCGGGTTTGGGCAGCTCGCGGCCACGACTGGGAAGTGAGTTGGCCGACTGAGAGGGGGTTGTTGGCGTCGCGGGGGTTGGTGCCGACGGGGTGTCGGGGTGGGGGCGGCGGGTCGGAGGCGGGCGACGCGAGCGACGACAGCGCGCTGAGCCCGCCGGGGCTCGACGCAGAGTTGAGCGGCGTGTCGGCCTCACCATCGCTCGACGCGTCCGAGAGCTCCTCCAGCTTCACGTCCTCCTCAGAGCAGGGCGACTGGGGTGTCGCCATCGGGTGCGGCACGCTCCCGGACGCCGCCGCCAGCGCTTCTAAGTAACGTACGCACTTCTTCTTCCGCCTGCAATCATCACGTTTCGTATAATTAGTGAGTTACTTACATTTGAAAAATATTTGTGCCAGTGCAGTCTGATTGTAAGGTGCACATGATCTGATTTGCTAGATAAGTTAATCGGGATGGGCTGGTAAAGCTTATATTTAGACGAATACCATATGCGTTTTTATCAGCTTGTCTCTTCATAAAGTTCTAATAGGAATAGATTAAACCCATTTATTTATTTTAGTTTTATCTATATTAAGGATGTTACAAATATCTGTATCCGAATCGGCATAATTTTTAACATCTACATCATCTGTTTCGTTTTTATTAAAAATATTTGTTTTTATCAATATAATATATATTAAGATAAAAACAATATTGAAAGGACAAAGAATTCGGGCTTTAAATTAGTCAAGTGTGGGGCCTATTACATCGTACACGGTTTGACATTTTTTACGAATGTAAAAAATACATAAAAACATATTATATATAACATGGATGCCTAAGTAGCTGCAGATGCAGGTACATATCTGTATCATTTCTTTTTCGGGTACGAAATAATTAAAAGACAACCGATTTTCACAAATTTAAGAACGTCAAATGAAAAAGTTATTAAAAGCATACGTAGAATGAGTTCTGTTACATAAAAAAACAACAACTACAAAATTGTTACAAATGTTAACTCTAAACATGCTGAAATGGGTTGGGTTTACAATTCGGTCGCCTGAATTTGAAGATTCTGTCACTGTGGGGGAGTCAAGGGGGTTTATCTGAAGCACCCCCACTCGATTTTTTCTGCCGGAGCAGCGTCGAAGTATTTTTAATTATTTTTTAAAAATATTGGTAAATGACTAATTTAATTACGTTTTTGACGTTTCATCTGTCAATGTCAAATCGATATATAGTACTGAATCGATCTAGTGAATCGATATTTCACCCTAGAGAATCGAGATCGAATCTTTTTCTGTTTTATTTAGATTTGCAAAATTATTTACAATTGGTTGAATGTACCCCAACTCGTAAAGAATGACAGTTTTTAATTTAATTATTCAATATTATCTGTACTTTATTGTATCTTTTGATATCGTAAATATAAACTTTTAACGCAAATAAAAAAAATCGATTTTTGCGAAATTGATCTTTAAGATTTCGATTTTTTGTGAATCGATTCATCTAATTTCGATTTGAATCGATTTAAAAATACGTAAAATTAAATCGCTATGCCGGCCATTTTGTTGACAGCTTTTCCTCACGGTGTTGCTTCCGAGTTTCAGAATTTTGGTGAATAGTGAAATATTTGTGGCGGCGGAATACTGCTAAATATCGCAAAGATCTTTTCTTACAAATGGTGGCAGCCATAAATTATGTTTATAAATTAAAGTAGTTACGAAAGTTAATAATTTGGTGTTATATCGAGTGCAATAGCGAGCGAAGCGAGCCTGGGACGTGGAGCACCCCGACTCGGACAGGTTAGGTTAGAAGAGGATGACGGGGTCGTGTGAGCGAGCGAAGCGAGCGAATAGACCCCGTCATCCTCTTCGTGGTTATTTTTTTGTAAACCACTCAGAAGTAGGAGCCCCGCGAAGCGGGGCTCCGTCGACCGTACGTCCCTCGACTGCACCACGTTAAGTGGCGTGGGGCTTCCATCCTCCAACTCTCTCTACCCATAAATCAGGTTAAAATTGTCATAAAAATTACGAAACATAACCTCAAAATGAGATTTTTAAAAATTAATAAAAAAAAAACTAAGCACGTCCGGCAGAAAGTGGAAGTAGGGGGGTGACTCTACAACTCCTCCCCCTCCCCCCACGCCACCCCCCACCGCCAAATTCAGGCGACCGAATTGTAAACCTTACCCGCTGAAATTGTTACAAATGAGATAAAACAAAAGGAAAAAGACTACCTCAATAAAGGAACACTTAAAACCAACGGAACGCAACACTCATGCGGCGCTAAGTAAATTGACGCATACCTGTATTTTTGCACGTCGTTCAACAAAACAATTATAAACTATTTCTACAACGATATGCACACTGGTGATAGAAAAAAGCTTTGTTTAATGAAGATTTTTGCACTTTAGCAAATTGTAAGTATATGGTAGCGATCTCGTTTGTGACCCTGTTTTAAAATCGTCTCATTTTACACACCATTTGCACCATCGATCGACGAATATGCAAAAGATATGGTTGTATTGTCATAATCCTATAGTCGACTTCTAGGATAGTAAAAGGATGATTTTATCTATACACTAAAATCCTTCATTTATTCGATTATATGGTAACAAAGCGACCACTTTGTTAGTTTAACTTTATAAATTATTTAAATCAAATTTTACGTCGTATATGTTGTAATGAGACAAATGAGTGTCTCAAAAACTTTTGGTTGATCTGAGAAGACGTCATTTTGAAAACCATGCATTTAATTTGCTGCCATAGTAACAAATTTCATTGCAATGAAAACATTTAACAATAAACGTCTGATAGAATTTGTTAATAATACAACAAAAATCTTATTTATACCTAAGTACATAAATGAAATAATCTATGTTACGAATAAACAGACTATAAGTAAAATAAAAAAATAAAACAAGAACACAATCGGCATTAACGAAACTCCATGCTGCAGCGAACTAAACAGCGTGATGTCGACTCAATCAACTGACCGTGGTACATCCTGCGGCGGTGGCGGACCGGCACTAGAGGTTCACGTAAGTGGGTTCTTGTGGGGGGCTCCCCACCAGACTGGCGGGCGGGAGCGGGGTCGTTGCTTCGGGCCGGAGAAGCCCTAACCCTCCCGACACCATAACGCTACTTGACTCGGGGCTGATGCCCACGAACAGGGGTTTAAAGAAGAATCCGAAATGATATGCGATAGCGGATTCGTTAGTAAAGTTAAACAGGACAGAATACGGTAAAAGTGTTAAGAATACCAGAAAATAAATATAATATAACATCAAATTAAAAAATTAACGGAATAAATAAAGTATTCAAAAATACCGATACACAATAAAAAGAAACATTAACAAAGTATAAAAGTAGTAAAACATGATTAAAAGATCAGGCAGAGTAAGAATTTTTCAGAGAAGGAAAATTACAAAAAAAAGATATTAGAAATCATGTCATTTTAGAAGTAGAAATAAAAAGTAAAGAAAGTGGAGTCAAGTAGAGTTTGGTGTAGAAATTGAATAATCGGAGCAATATACGCGTAAAATTTTACCAATAGTGCCAGCGGAATCCAGCATCGATCCATGAGAAGCGGCAATCATGAGTGGAAAAAAACATTTCGATAAGTATAAACATTATTTACTTCACACTAAATATTCTTTAGTAACTTCCGAACCTTTTCGATAATAAAAGCGAGCGTAATTCAGAAAATGTGTCAAGATTTTTTTGAAAGTTTTCTTCGACAATGATTGCCTTTCCTCTGATGATCTCTGACGCATCTATGTATATTTTTCTAATTCCTATTAATTCACTACCACACTTTGTCTACTTTCAAAAAAATCTATTCCGTGTGCTTTCTACGTTGTATCATACTTATTTCTTTGTGAAAAGACACATTTTCTGAATTCTTTTCTGCTTCGCCGTACACGATTCGTATTTGACCAAACTCATTTAGAGTATGGTAAAACGAAAAACATTGATACCGTAAACATTTTCAAAACATAAAACAACATCAACTACAGATTTTTTTGAATCACAATAATACTTTACAACTAATACGAATACAAAATTCAAGTTACGACTGGGCTCCTTTTGCTGCCATATTTTGTAAAGACGAAAAGATAAGCCAAGTCTTTCCACATAGAAACAATATATTTTTTGAAATAACATTATAATAATTTTTTTAGAAAATTCCTTTAGACAATTTTGCAAATAATTTTATTGCTAAGTGTAAAGAAGTCTCAACTACCCACCTGCAAGGTTTGCACCATTGGTTTTGTTGATCGAGGCCATATCGCGCCCGACATTTCTTCAAATTATTTCCTGGAAGTGCCACAGTAATTCTGTTAGAATACGTCACTAAAGAGATTCATAAATTAGGCAAATATCTACTAGATTTTTCTTTAAGAATCGTTAAAATTGGATTTTATAGCAAAATAAAAATTCAACGGCAAATTAATGGTTCCACCATGTGTTGTGGAAATAGTGACTTTCTAAAAATAATGTTGATCAAGTTATCTGGTTCAGAAAGCGACATTATTTAAATTAAATTAAGTGGTCTCGCATATTATTATTTAGCAGAAATAAATTTATGGGAAATCATATTAGAAGCATCTTAAAATAACTTTGCTACACTAAAACTACAAATAAGCATACATGCAACATACCCCTTCAAACTTGTTAGTGTCATGCGGGGATCGGAGTGGGAGAAATAAAAAGGAATAACGAAAAAAACATTGGTTTTAAAAATAGCGCACTACTCGCTCTCATTTGGAAAAAAATAGGTCTAGCTACGCTATACGGAAAACAAAAACAGTCACAAATAAACATGACGCTTATAAGCAAATTGAAGCAGAATAGGTTCTCCGGAATCAAAATAAATATTTATGTTCATTTGGCCAGTATCATTATACAAAACACCGCAGAAGCGTCGGCAGCTTTTGTCTGAATTTAGTGTCAAGTCGTCGCTCCTCTGAGGTAGACTCCGTTACAGAATTGTTCATCTTACATAATACCGTTTTGTTCTCAGCTCTTCATGCATACAATATATTTCACTCTACACCTTTGCATACTTGATATATCTCAAGAAGGCTGTCCCAGCCCACACAGAGTACATCTACTGTCCCTGCAAAGCAATTACTCATATGTTCAAATATTGACTGCTGGATCATATCATGCACGCTCCCCGAATACGTAGGCGGCACTTCGGAGCAGGACGGAAAGCCAAAAACCGGGACAACCTTCGAAGGAGTGCCACTTACTCAGGGTGTTCTCATAAAATAGCGGTTGTAATTACAAAAAAAAATATAAATATATAAATGCGATAAATATTAAATAAAAATCAATATAAATCTACGACCTGGACCCCTTCAACCATAGACATTCGGCAATAGTTCTAATTCGCATGGTTGTTGGAACCAAAGTTCAAAGTAATTGAACTCACGCCAGTTGAAGGCGGAGAGGGAGGGAAACGGGAAGAGAGAGGAGGGAACAGCCAACGTCTCAGAGCTAATCCTTCATTAATTGACCTCATTTTTTTAATGAGCCGAAGCGTGCATATCGCAATCGTTGTGAGACGTCCGCTCTTTAAGGCCATGTGTCAGATTGTGATCAAGTTAAATTTATTTTTTATTAGCTCGCTTTTTTGCATCGCTAAATGACACATTGGTTTCTACGCTTAAAGAAGGGAATTTCAGGATGGGAATAGTTTTAGAATGGTAGGCATAAAGGAAAAAGGAATTCGACGGAGCGAAAGGCAGTACCTCCATCGATTGTCTCCTGTTTTCGTTTCCTCTTCTTGCCCCTTTGCGTATTAGCCCTAGACGACCAATCGGGATAGAGTTGCATGTGTAGCTGGCGTTCCCGACGCGCCAACTCGTAATACTTGGCTTGTTCCTCCCGGCCGAGTGCGTGCCACTGTACCGTCAATGGGCAGCAATATGGAAAGAAAAGAGAAATGCACTTCGACGGCGGCCCAACACGGCTCGGCCCCGTCCTAAAAGCTGGTGCTAGAAAAACAGCCCGCTGTTCGCGTCCCCACGGCAATTTTGATCCTAACGTGAATGAGAATGGCCAATTGTGTTCCTCACAGAACCTATTCTGCGGTCGGTCGTCGCGCCTATACATAGAACAAACCAATGTTTCCGGGGGTGTAAGGTAAACAGTACACGGTCACTCGACGACTACAGTACACAACAGGCAACAGCCGGCCGGCGACGGTTCCGGCCGCTTTTCTAGCACAGGTACCGGTGGAGGAGAGTAAACACGTACACACGCACACACGCACACTCACATACAGGGAGGGGGGGTTACGGAGTCGTCAGTGTGGACGCAAGCCGGAAGTTAGTTAGTGTTAAGGGGACGCGGGCATCCTGAGCGAGAGTCTCCCGGTTAGAGGATGGAAGAGTCTCGCTCTGCCCGTTGCGGGACGGGCATGGAAGGAAGGTGAAGCGAGTGTACACAAGCGTCGTCGTGACCCAGCCCCTCGCGTGTCGGGTTACAGTTCCTAAGTTCCAATACCTCCCAATTCAGCGGGACCTCGGTCCTTTTTCCGCTTTTTCTTTTTGGAACCGTAACCGTAGTTGTCCCTCGCGCTCCACCCGGGGTATAGCTGCATATGGAGCTGTCTCTCTTGCCTCGCTTTCTCATAGTATTTTGCCTGCTCCTCGCGACTCAATGAATGCCACTGCGTATTGACACGAGTATTGCACATTACGGGGTGTCCACATCGGCACCGAGGATTTGCATCACCTCATGAACATTCAATTCGTTGGTCGCGCTTGAATGCTCATGAGTAAACAAGATCATGATTAAACACAGTTGCTACTCTTGTTAGGAATGAGATTGCGTTCTAGGAAACGGCTAACGGGTTTGATTCTCGGTAGCGGTCCGCGTTACGGTCATCATTATTTATTATTCAATACATCTAGTACAGATTGCCGATATGGCGTTGCCTTGTCTTGCAACACGAATGATATGTTTACACGACTCCTCGCGAATCATATTCCTAACAAGATTAACAATGAAAACATCGCCTCAATATGAAACAAAACACTGATTCAAGGGTCAAATAATAAATTAATTATATTTTTATCTAACGTATTTAAAACATAATGGCCAATTTAAAATTATTTTGAACATTAACAGGTATGATCGATAAATGGTTTCTAAAGAAAATAAAGGTAAAAAAATAAAATAAAATCAATATGCATTCAATGCGAACTCACCCGTCTGCCAAGGATCTGGTTGATCGCTGCGGACTCCTTGAGGGTGCATTCAGCTACAACTTTTGCCCTCATTTCTTTCATGTATAACATGAAGGCGTTTAGGGGTTTCTTTATGTGGGGCTTCTTGTTTTGCTCTTTATTGTTCGTGTTGGCCGTACCTTCGGATTGTTTTTCGCTTGCGCTGCTACCACTACTCTTCTCTACCTGTGATCTGAAATAAAAACAGCAGATCTTGAACGAATAAACCATGTTAATTCGTTCAAGCAGAGAGATCAGGCGCAGGACCAACGGCTTTACGTGCTTTCCGATGCACGGGGATGAGACACCACCAACTTCCCGAGTCCGGGCAACTACTGAGAATTTCTTGACGGAAAATCTCAATAATTAGTTTTTTGGCCCGACCCGGGATTCGAACCCAGGATATATATATATAAAAATAAATATAAGATGAACCATGCGTTCCTACACCATTCATCCGATTACGTTGAAACTTTGATGAGCTGTTCATGTGCACCTGCGATAATTTTCTAGCAAAAGAGCAACACATGATGGACACAGTTATTCATAAATTTGTATTTTCGATTAAAATTGGGATGCTATAAGCATAGTGCTATAGCAGTGACTGTACGACTGATTATACTAAGATGATTTGAGTCCTTACCAAAAACAAGGATTTTGGGTAAACATATTTTCGTTTGATGTCTGAAAAATAATAACAAAATAATTCTTGGAATAGACCTTCCTAAATCTTAAATCCTCTTTTGCTTAGAAGCATAATATTGAATGATTAAAAAATTGAGTGACACGGTTGCCATATAAAAATTCGATCTATCAACTTTATCAGCGCCGGAATCGATAGGTTAATAACGAGTTAAGGTGTTAACGACATCCAGACGGGCGACAATAAACAAGCGAGCGTCCGGTTGGAAATAGACGCGGCGTTTCCGGCGGCGCGCGAGCCCGCAGACATGCATTGGAGATATGGATACACGATAAATTTCGTATTGAATACTAGCGACCAAGATCGGCCCGTATGTTTGTTAGGAAAGATTCTGAATAATCGTTTTACGCAATAGAGCCATGCTGTCAGCATAAAATGGTGGCTTAGGCTGCTATATTTCGTATGTCGAGTAAAGAGAATCGCATACCCTTTTTACTGGAAACGAGGCATTTCATCTTAGTCATCAGGGTTGACAACGCATCTGCATTTTGATTCTTAATCGAGGATAGATATCTCTATGATCCACAGCATCCACTTACCATCACGTGAATTGTGTGCTTAATGTGATATGAATGATAAGGTTGGGCTTTACTGTTTATTGTTTTGAGATGTTATCAGTAAGATGCTGTGCTTCTCATCTCCTGTTTCCATTTTCTACTATCACTTTTTACAACGCCCTTGAGATGATATTGGATAGATGATCTCTTTCACCGCCCCAACACTGCGCGGTTGTAATATCAAATAAGCGATTTTTTAACATCTAACAGTTGTTTGCTTGCTTTACGAGCCTGTTAATGTCCGCTACTGGATATCATCCTCTAATATTTCCATTAACAATCGCCACATTTATGAGGATTGGATTGGACACCATTTACACATACCTACATTTAATTTTCCGCTCGATGGAGTAGCAATTTGATGAGTGCCGTCTACGTGAGCTTTATTTTAACTTCCATAGATCGTGCAATAGATTGTCTTTGTTCAGCAGTGGACCTATGATGAACTCATATGTTTCAAATATTGTTGATTAATTTCTGTATTTTGGAGACTTAATAAGTCTACTAACTAAATAAGAGTTTAAAAGCGTACTCGCGTGTACTCAGTGTCACACTTTAGCATAGATCGTCCTGCAGTAGGACGTTTTTGAAATATTTATAATATGAGCATATTCAACAAAACGAAACAATCATTAAATCTTCGGGACATGGAGACTGCTTCCAAATTATTACCATCAACAAAAATGTGACAACGATATAATGCCAATAAAAAATCCAACGCGCACAGTTTTCAAAATAGCCCATCACAATCTGTACCGAAATTAATAATCACAATGTTTGAAAAATAAACGAAACGTCTGAAAAACGACTTCCTGTGCCTGCGAGATGTACAAAACCGAAATAGAACCTATAAAATATATTGTCAGAGACATATTAAGCGTACGCTCAATACGTCTAATATAGACTTTTATTCACTAAATTAGTTCCGAGAACGTTCAGGACGGTCAAATATACGACTTCCTTAATGCGCGAAGGCGAGTTGGTTTAAAAATGGGTAAAAGGTTAAAAAGAAAAGAGAGAAACGTAAATCCCGGGCACAATGCGCGTACACTTCCAAATGAGGTATTCAGTGGCGTGCAGGCAGTAATTATGTTCGGCGTACTGTCGCAAACAGCTGGTCTTTACTGAGAATATTGATTCTAAACGACTGGAGATAAATACATACACAGTTTTGAATGTCGTGGAAAGGCGGGGTCGAGTGCAAACTGAAAAAACGTATAAGAAAAATTGTTTTAAACTGTTGCGATTTGCTTTTACGTTAATACAAGCGTACAAAGTACGCGAGCAACACGGGTTCGATCCCGGCACATGCTCGATGATATTATTGATAGATTTATCACATGCTCGATGGTAGAGGAAAACATTGTGAGGAAATATGAATGTCTGCGAAATAAGAAAAAAAAATGTCGAAGACGTGAAGTTCGCCAACGCAGCGCGGCGGACATTTTCTTGCCCTAAATCCCTAAATCCCCAGGGCTGTTCCCAGCAGTGGGGCGTATATAGGCTGTATCTTTAACTTTTGAATACAGATGCCATTCTAATAGTAGAAGAATAAGGTGGAATATAATATGACGACCGACTGATGGCTTAAATTATACGCACCGGTGAGTGGTAACCAGCATCATTAGTGTAATGAGAGTCTCGTCACTTCACTATGTCTAACCCGTATTGAGAACTATGGCAATGCATAAGACTTCTGACGAGTTATGAATATGACAATATATATTACTAAATAAAAAAGAGCAAATAGGATGATAAATAATATGCAACTATACAACTACATAATAGTAAAATAATAAAATAGAACCTTAAGAAAGATCCACAAACGAGACAAATTCTTCTTTTAAATCTGACAGTTTTAATAAACAAGGACAAGCGAAACACATATTATTTATAGGCTCTCATAACCCAAAGCCACATGTTATATCATTTGCATTTAATTTTCAGTACGTATTTAATGCTTGATGTGTCACATAAGTTTTTTTTATCTCGATATGAGAATCTCAAGCTGTCCCCGGTTGTCGTGGTGAGTGTACCTCAAAGTCACAGTGGCCCGTTAACCCGCGGCGTCTCATATATCATCTTAATTAAATTTCTCCTCAAGCACCTTATTTACATGATTGTACCTGGGCTTTTATGTGGTTGAATGTTTGGCCCACTGTTAGCGAGTTAACAAGCGGAGCGGTTTTAAAAAAAATATGTAAATCTTCAACAGTTTGTTGGGTTTACTTAAATAGGTAAGTTTATTTTAAAATAATCAAACTTTTAAAGATTATGTCATCTTCAATGATTACGCTCTTTACCCTTTTTATATCTGATCGGAAAAATAATCGAAATTAACAACTCTACAGACAGCCTCTAATTACAATATAAATTGGGTAATATCAAACGTTGTTGCCCAAAATATTATCCCTTATAGTTAAAAGTATTAGCACATTAAAAACAACAATTATGTAAATGATTTTTTTTCCTTTTACTGGTAAGTAAAAGTAAAAAAAAACATTTACATAAAATAGCAATTCCGCTACAACTGCGACCCATCAATTAGGCGTGTAGTGATTATATATTTTTGACTGATGCGCCGTGTATAAAACGATGACGCGTTGAAAGGTGTAAGATTACAAATTCCTTTCTGCATTACCACATTACCAGTCACACACATCCTCTTAATTTACAAAGTAAAGGATCGTTATTCAATTGAATACAAATTTAATTCGTAAAGATTTCCCAATTTATACTACCTACCTATAAATAAAAAGATAATTTCTAACGATTATTTAAAATAGTAGCATTGAAATATTTTCAACAATTTTTTATAAGGCAATTTCGCACGAAGTAGATAGCTGCTCTTGTCTCATCGTTTATAATGGTTTTGATGTGGATTTAGATATGTAAAAATAGTATGATTTTGTTGTATTTAATGTCTGTAAATGTAATTTATTAGTGGAAATGATGCATGTCGGGTGACGACGTAAAAAGAAATAAACTACAAGTTATCAAATTATTGTGTAAGTTTGAGTTTGAGCTGCACTGAGATACCATTGTCATCGACTGACTGCTGGGTTTAACTGTCGTCAACAACTTCCAAAAACTTGGCAAAGTGTCGAATCCAGATTTTGTGAAGAATTTCGTAAGAAATTATAATAAACGCTACTCTGAAATTACTTGACCCTGGAAAAAGTACTAGGCGTACATGGCCATCCCAGAAGGAAGAAAGAACTGGATGTTATTAACTGAGCAGTTGAGCTGACCACGGCGCCAACTCCCAAACTATACACTACTACTTCCCTTATTTTGTAACATTACGCAAGATGATGAATGTCCGCGCTTACACAAACATTCGTCTTATTTATTTATTTATTTATTTATAAGGTACACCAACAGCAAAACACATTAAACATTAACAACAACACAATAACAAATGTATATGGTTAAATATGTTTGCCAATTACAGGTATACACAACATTTACCGTAATGTGCAGATCATTACACCACAATGGCACTGAATACAAAACAACTTACATAAAAAAAACTAACTGAGGAATAAGTGTGTGCTGAGAGGGTGAAAAGAAATTGGTCAATTTTTTTTCAAGCATCGGGCAGAGTCGTCGAAAATGTCAATGTCCGGTATCTTGGTCATAATTTCATTGTATGTGTTACATATTCTGGCTAGGGGATAATGCGCACCTAAATTAGTTTTGTGGCAAGTTATGCTAAATAGTTTGCGAATTGGATATCGACGATATCTGTACGGGATAACTAATTTAATGTGATCGAGGAGGTGCGTACTTTTGATTTTGTTATGCAGTAACTTGTGTAGGAACATTAAGTCTGCAATGAGACGTCGGTCACGTAAGGTTGTCATTTTGAAAAATGCTAACCTCTGATTATAGGGGTGTCTATGCGATATGCCTGGAGTTGAAAAGGCAAGG